GGGCAGGGGAATGAGAGTGCGAGACGTGTTTTAGTTTCCAAGGGAGAGATCAGTTGACTTGCGGCGCTGGCTGGCTGGACTGCTGGATGGCTGGACTGGCTCGACTGTTGGATTGGCTACCTCAACCTCCCAGGTACGCTACGCTAGGTGTCCGTACATAATAATGTACCGCAGCTAAGGTAAGATAATTAATAATAATTGGTTTGGTTTGGCAAGTCAACCTTGCCTGAACCCTTTTGTACCCCGGTACCTCGCAAGGTGAGAGGACGACAGTGGTGAAGGAAATGGGAAGGACCGCTTTTTTTTCTGATTCATCATTACATCCACCACTCACACACGCACACACCAACAAGGTCGCAAGGATACGCATTCACCCACGCCTGCATCACTGGCATATTCACGCATTGTGGTGGTAATTTGTATTTCCAGCATCTTGTATTCATGGGGTTTCCTCCCCGGCTCGAGTTTTCTGCAACCCAACTTGGCTCTCGAGAGGTTTTTTCTCTCTCGCAATCCGTTAGTCAACCTGGTCTCAGTCGTCAATTAATTACCGGAAGCCAGTCAACCCGGTCAATCAGAACACGTCGAGCAAACACGGCGCGCACGGGACATTGGAGGCGCTCGCCCATCCTTCGCCCCCCCCCCTGTCATGGTTGCTTGAGATAAGGTGTCGGCGACACACGCGATGGGTCGACTCAACTCTAAAAGCCATCCATTATTGTCCCTGAACTCTGTCTTCTGTCTCCCTCTTTCCGGACAGTCTCGCGAGGCCAGATTCAAACATGAGACGCCTTTCTCGCAATTGAACTGGCAGTTGATTGACACCGCCATTTCCGGGCTTGACGGCCAACAACTCTCAGCTCGTGTACTAGGTGCCCGCCTGAACTGAGCACTGAGCGACTGGCCAACACCCCCCCCTAGTAGATCCGTACCTCATTACGAATTACGTGCGTGCGCCAAGCGATGACTGGGTTGACGGCGACAATGATGACACGACTTGCCTTCCATAGGACGGGCCCGTACCCCTTTGGGCTGTGTCCCCGCAAATCGTATCGCTCATCAGGTTCCGTCTCTTTTTTCACAGACAATGCCAATGTCCAACCTCGGCGCACAGTCGCTCGCACAGTACCGCTACACTACCCTTGTGAGACCCTGAACTGGAAAGGTCACGATCCGGATCAGGATCACGGATCAGAGCAACTGCGCGCCAGAAAATAGACGACGCATGTGCTGATGGATACATGATGATGACATGCCGGCCCTCCGTGACGCCAATCAACAACAATGTTCTGGTAAGCCCAGAAAAGAGGCGCAACCAATGTCATGGCAATCTCGCAACACTTCCCAAACATCCGGCCTTACAACCACGCCCACCACACGCTGGCAACGCACACACCCTTTTACGTGCCCATCACGTCGCGGCAAAGAAAAAAAAAACCTGCCCCAAGAATGCAGTGCCAGTAGTCCCGTACGTGCACGCGCACCCCCCTGGATTGCCCGATGATCAGAAGCAAGAAAACTACACGGAGCCCGGGTAGCAACACGGATCTATCTTTGGTTCAAGATGGAGGGTTATCCTGGACCCGTCCGTCAATGCCTGTCTTGACACGGCCCGTAACAACCCAAACCCCTTCCCAAACAGAATCAATGTGCGAACTGCCGATGCCGTTACCCGTCGTTCCTGTTGGAAACCTTTAAACATGCGGTACTTGATAGAATGGGCCATCTCGGGAGGGATATGTTTGGGGGTGCGAGTTTTTTATTTTTTTTTATGGCTGGTGGCAAGGGTACAACCACCTGGAGAAAATGGCTCCACGTCGTTTCTACGCCGCGTCCACAAAGGCCCAATTGCTCTCCACGGTGTCCCATCCCGTATCCGGCCATCCTTGGAAGCCTGACGAGAGAGCCTCATGCAAGTGCTTACGCACAGTGCAATCCTGTCTTACTGCAGTGGCCGAGCATTGCCCAGGTTGCGAAACTCAAATACCGTTACTTGGCTCTGCTGCACATAATCGCACCGTGTTGCTCGCTTTCTCGACGGCGTCTGCGCCATGCCCCAAGCCCCATGCCAACATCTCACACAAGCAAACAATACAAAAGCCCTTATTAACCCAGGGAGCAAAGGAGCAAACACGCGCCATGACTCGGCGCTGTAATCAAGCACCATCGCGCTAGGTCTCAGGATCAGATGTCGAGTTTCCAGTTCCGACCACAGGTCGCGACTCAGCGGGTCCCGTATCGGCCCATCCTCTGGGACTTGTGTCTTGGGTCTTGGGTCTTGGATCTTGGGACCCCGCCCGCCGCTCAATAAACTTGTATCCGGTACGAAGGTAGCGAATACACCGTCCGCGCTTGCTTTGCTGGCGGGTTGTGCTTCTGTTGGTTGGTTGGTTGCCCACGTAGCTCGTCTCAGCTGCCCAAGTCGAATACCTCCAGACCAACCCTTAAAAGGAACCATTTAACCCACCCCCTGCAAGTCTGATTCAGAACCGACCAAAACGGCAACAGCCACTTTCAGCTCGGCTCTGTTGGCACTGTGATAAGGTAATTCAACAACAGCCCCCCCGGGTCAGCGCGCCACTCGCCGAATGTGGTCGTATTGACCACAGTTGTTCGCCGTTCTGACCGTCTTGTTGAGACAACCTGCCGTCTGCCAAGGTGCATAGCCTTTCTGTTGCGTCGACTTTCTAGCTTTTCCCAGCCAGGCGCCCCGAGCGCGTCAAATTAATTCCCTCAACCCACGCCGCCCTCTGGCTGATGTATCGGGAAAGGTACCCCATGTTGCTTCTCATCAAAAAAAGTCTATCAACAATGCAACCCGAGGTGTTACCAAAAGGCCTCGGGCCGCTGGAACGCACCCGGTTTTCACCATGTCTCGCCATTCCGCGCCTTGTGCCCCCAAACCTGACACCTCAGAAATGACTAATTAACAAACCGCCGTAGAGAGTATAGGCCCGTGAAACGTCGGCAGGGTCGCACTTAGTTGCAAGTGGTTGGACGCGGTCCTCACTTGTTGGCTATGCACGGCACATGCGTGTGAAAAGCAGGTCTTGGATCTAGGTAGGCAAGCGAACCACAAATGAAATGGCCTGCATGTTCCCTGTAACCTTGAATGGTTAATGTATTTGTTTCTCAAGGCCAGTTGTCCTTTTCCTGGAGTGGAGGACGAGAACCTTTTGGCTGGATCACAACCTCCGAGTCCGTGGCTACCCATTTCGTCGAAACCCGTGTTGGTCCTCGCAGCTTCTAATTTAGGAGTCAAGGATTACGCGAAACAAATAGTGCATGCATGCATTGGCTGCTGCGGTTGAAGGATGAAGGAAGGATGAAGGCCAACTGCAACGATCACATCAACTCGAACACGTCAGTCTAGGTAGATCGTATGACTCGCCCATTCGTAAATTGTCGTAAGTCGTGTTTTCCTCATGTCTTCTTTATTTGATACATTATCCACCACGTCCTCGACCGCCTCGACCACCCCGGCCCCGACCTCGTCCCCTTCCTCCTCCGCGACCGCCTTTCTTGCCTCCCCTAGGACCGCCCCGGTTATCAAACCGTTCAAACAGTCTCTCTTCTCCGAAGGCGCCTTCTCCAAACCTCATAAAGTTGACAAGACCGCGGTCCACGATTGCCACGAGCACGTTTCGATGTCCATGCTTGAGGCGTTGGTACATACGGCCTGGCCCTTGCCACGCCGGTTTAATTGGGGGGTCGTAAGGTGTTGACTCTAGGAGCGCCTCGATTTGCTCAAGCGACGGTACGCATGAGTCACCCGCATCAACAACTGCAATGCGGAAATCGGGTGGTGGGGGGCTCTTCTTGGAGAATGGAGCACCACCCGTCTTCCACACGTGAAAGAATATGCGGAAAGGCTCTTCCGGAGTGTGCACTTCTACCGGTGTAGGCAGCGGTTTGTGGCGGGGGAGAATCGCCAACTTTTGATAGATGGGCCGATAGGCACGATAAAGTCCTGGCTGGACAAGGGGCCCAAATGGTTGCTGCCTTGGACGCGCGTCCTGGCTGACGAAGGAGAACAGCCACTCCCATAGTGTCTTGGTGGGGGGCGGAGGTGATGTTGATTGGGGTTGTGGAGGTGCACGTAGGACGTGGAAGCCTGCTCGTTTCAGATGCGAGAAGACATGATACTTGGGTAGTGAGATCTTTCCCCTCTCGCCATCGTAGCCGACGAAGAGAGAATAGGCTGCCTCGAGACTTAGCGGTAGTCCGGCATCGTAGTCGTCCGGCCCTAGGTCGAGTCCAGCCTCGTCCGCAGCCTCAGCCTTGGGAAGCAGTTCTTCCAATTGTCGGTTGGGCCACCACAGGTCGAGGGTCCCGCGCTCGACCAGGTAGATGGCTTCCTCTGGCAGTAGCCAAAGCCGTCCAGCACCAGCTCGCTCGAGCTTGCCTGGTACCGCGCGCCCGATGTCCTTTTGCCAGTTTCCTCGCTCGTGCTCCATCGCGACAACTCTGTCTCGTAGCCACAGCCCTTCTTCTTCTCCAGCCTGTTCAAGGTCTGCCCACCAGTCGGGGAAGCACCAGCCTCGTACCCAAGCATCCTCTCGGTGTATTCTTGTATAGCTCAGCACATTGTCCATGACATTACGGCTCGCCTCCAGAAGGTTGTCCTGCGCCCGGGTTCCGTGCGACTCGAAATCCTTCTCGCCCTTGCGAATTGCCTTGCTCGAAACACCGGATTTATCGAACATGGACAAGAAGAGCTTGTAGTCGGGGGTATCTTCGTCAGCATCCTCCGGCGCAGCAGTGCTGGTGGCGGGGGCCGGCGCATTAGGAGCGTCGTCGTCGTCGAAAGCCATCGTGTCGGTCAAATGTCTGGTGCGCAAGCCGCGAGAAGAGCCACGCAACCATGCCGTGATGCTGGTGTTCCACGTTGAGGTTGCGAGATGGAAAACTGATGCGAGGCTGTGAAGCCTTGTCTGGCCCCACTACAGCCCACATGGCATACTCCTTGAGACCAGTTATCTCAGTTACAGATATAACAAGCTGGGATGGCCGAGTGGTTAAGGCGCTGTGTTTAGGTTCTCTATCAGAAACCAGACCCGCAGTGGGAAACCGCCTGGGTTCAAATCCCAGTTCCAGCATTTCCTTTTTGCTTTTTGTTCCTAATTGTCTTTATTAGTTTGTAGAAATATTTTTGCGGTATCTGTTATTTTGCTAAAGTTATGTATTCTCACTCTATATGGCTGAAAGCGTATATTGCAACCCTATACCCGTAACTAGTGAAATTACATCTACATTCTACCCCCGTTCTGCTCCCGAAAGAGAAAGGCTTGATTAAATGAGGCTAGGAGTGATGTTCGCAACGAACTCAGAACAGCGTGCATTTGATACTTACCCAAGCTTCGTCGAGACAGCTCTGAAATGCCATAGAAGTCAGCGAACCCATTGAGGCAAGACGCAACACGTGACAGCGCTGAGATTTGACAACCAGCGCTGTTAACGGGGGCAGAAGGAATGAGAAGGAAAGCCAACGGCAGGGTTACAAGAATGTGCGTGTTGACAGGTGAATACCTGTGGAGAGGCAACGATCATTGGTGATACAACAACAGGCCTGAGCGCGGTGGGCACTTAAGACTTTTAGAAAGAGTTGAAGGAGAAAAAGTAGAACAGAGAGTGATTATCAGATGGCACGCGCTTTACGGTGTTTATGTGACCCCTGAACTCATGCATACAGTTGCCAACGACTAACGGTAGGTTGCAAGCCCCATAACCTTTTGTTGTCATTGAAAACTCCATTCTGTATACAAGCAGCACGTCTTAAACCTGGCGTTAAGCACCCGTTTATACATGTTGTATGAGAGCACTTGGCGATATCTTGTTTGTCGCCGCCATGGTGTGAATAGCTTCATCGGATTTGCTCCTGACGCTTGGACCTCCCATGCTAGCTCACAGGCACTAAAATGTCACGTTCAATAACAGAGCCATGCGCCGGCTTCAAGTACAGAATCATTTACGCCAGCTAGGCTTTGGATAAACTTTTATTAATATCATGCCATGGTTTTATTCATTGCCGCGTCTAACTTCTTTCACGTTGATATATCATCCGCTTCCTGTCTTTGGTCTCCTTCTTAGCAGCCAGTGCCACGTCTAACATCTGACATCATTCCGCTACCTCTCTTCAGTCACCTTAGTAGCCTCTGCCGCTTCTGCCGCTTTCTTCTCATCCTCCTTCTTCTGATCCTCCTCATAGCCCTCGAGCTTCATATCCTTGAGACCCAGCTCCTCTTCCTCCTCATCCGTTCGAGTGTAGCTCTCCCGGTGGATGCTGGGGTCCGGCGCCGGTGGGTCAACCAGGGGCTGGATGAAGCTGCTAGCGAAGGGGTCGGTAAGAATGACGGTGAAGGGCTTATCGCCAGCGATGGCGGCGTCGAGACCGGCAAAGAACTCGTCCCACTGAGATTTCTCCTTGGAGGCGAGGGAGTCGCCGCCCTGGCCGGAGCCGTCGAACTCGAAAATCTGGCTGTGGAGGTCGTTGCGAACCTGTGTGAGGAGACCCTCAACGGTGGTGAAGCGGCCACCCAGGGTACCTGGGTTGACCTGGAGCTGGAGCTCGGGGCACTCGAGAGCGCAGGTCTCACTCTTGAGAATGTCTCGAGCGAGGTCGGTGCTATCCTTGACGACAAGGGTGATCTTCTCACCCAGCTCAGGAATCTCGCCACCAGTTTTGACATCGTTGGAGCGGTATCCGCAGTCCTCGCAAACAGTCGACATGAGCACGACTTGCTTGAAGTGGGGAATATCGACCATCTTCATGTGAGTAGTGCACGGGTGCATGCAGCCAGGGCATGTCGCAGGGAAGCTGTAAACCTCGTTCGGGATGATGTCGCCCTCGGCGGTCAACCCAGGGTTGTTGAGGCCGGCGGCAGCGCTGGGGTCGGAGTCAGAGAGACCAAGGGCCTCGTTCTGCTCGCGAGTTCGGGCAAACTCGTGCTTCTCCCACTTACCGACGCCGTCCTTCAGGTCAGGGGCGATGAACGAGTTACCGGCGGGGTCATCGACGTAGAAGCGGAAAGGGAATGAGTCACCAGCCAACATAGCGCGACCCTTGGCAATAATCTCGGCAATCTTGGGGTACATCTCGGGAAGCTGCTCCTTGCGTGCCTCCTGTCCCATCTCAAGGTCATCCATGACGGTGCTGAGGAGACCCTCGACATTTGTCAGCTGGCCACGACCAGCTGGGATCTCGAGATCCATCTCGATAAACTTGACTGTAGCGGTATCTGACTTGACGACTTGGCGCGCAAAATCGTCGAGGGCAGTCAAGCGCAACTCGTAGTGGGTTCCCTTAGGCTGGACGGTTCCGGCCGCCTGGATCTCGTTGTTCTGGACGTTGCAGTGCTCGCAAGAAAATGACATGATGACGATTTCGCGGAAGTAGGGGATGGCAGTGAGGAGGAGACGAGTGACGCCCTATGCGCATAGTTAGCATCAGTAGGACACAAGGTGTCACAGAGACTCACATTCTTGCCGCAGTTCATGCAGAGCGACTCAATCTCCTCGACGGCTCGGTGGTCGTCATCTTCGTTTTCAGTTCCATCGACAACGGGCGCAAGGTTCTTGACCTTGTCACCGATGGTCTGGAAGAATTCCTCCGGAGTTTGCTTGCTCAGGTCGTCGGTCGCCATTTTTGCAATCGGGTCGTGATGGTGGGATGGAGGAGTCGTTTGGTGGTTAGTCGATGGAGGGGCAGCGAATTTTTTGGAGGGGCAACGGCGTTATGTCATGCTGGGCCTGGGCGCATGGGCGTGCATGGGCGGCTGTGGAAGCAGCGGCCCAGCTGGAAGCAGACGCTAGAAGTTTCGCGCGTCTGGGCCTGCACATGACAGTATGGTTCCATTGACTCTTGGCCGGAGGCAACCCAATGGATGCTGCTCGCAGACGATCGTTCGTTCTGACTCATTTCATAAAGTGGGAAAGGCTCAGCGGGTTTGCCGCCTGTTGGCCTGACAGAAGAGCCTGCAATCCGGCTTTGCGGTTCTTGGCTCGCTTCTTGCTGCTAGAATTCGCCGTTGGCTTAGACGTATCCGGGGCTGCTAGCTTCTTGATCCTGGTCGGGGCTTTGGCCTTGAGTCGTACAGCTGGTCCTGGGGGCGGAAGCGTAATCTTGGTATCCCGTCGACAGTTGGCGCAGTGCAAGGTTCTGGTTTTGCTGGTGGCCTTCGGAGACTTGGTCGAGCCCGAGCTTGAGCCTGTGGCGGCGGTTGAAGCCGACCCCTTCGCGTTCCTTCGCAAAACCTTGCGAGTCTCGGGCTTCGTCATCTTTCCCCAATTTGTGATGGGGATAATGCCACAGCCACCGCATGCGCGCTGAAGTTGAGTTTCGGATTGGGGAACTCCATGTTCCTCGAGAAGTTGGTTCCGGTGGCTCAGGAGATGGGCTGAAGTCTCGGGGGCTGTCATACGGAGGAGGTAGGCCGCGTTGGTGAGATAATCGACCGTACCGGGAACGTCTTCGAGGGCCATCTTTCAATGGGTGACACTCTTCCGTCTGAGTTCTGAATCCTGGTCTGTGTCTGGAGAGAAAAGATGTCGGTGATGTGACGCTTCGACCTTGAGAGCACGGACCTGAGCCACAATAGTGGCTGGATGCGATTGTGGCTCACCAGCCCTATCATGAGTACCTACCTCTACCCTGTAACCATTAAACATCAACTGGAAACATTCAAAAGGATATCTCTGGTCAAATATATTGGATAATCCTAGTTGATTACGCTCGGCGAATCTCCCATTTGATTTCCTTGATGCTCACCTCATCACCCGCCTTTTCGTCATAGTCATACCATTCACCATCCACCAACTCAATTCCAGTAAACTTGGTGGTAGAATCCAAGCCATCTGCCAGCCATTCACCCTATCTCGTGTCAGTAAACAAACCAGAACCAAGTCAATTCACGCACCTCCGCCTTAAACTCGGTAAACTCCAAGCCTCGGCAGTCGAACTCAAGAATCTTCTGAGACTTTGGTGGCTCCCCCTGCTCATAGGCCAAAGGTGCTGCCTTGATGGAGGCCGTTGATTCTCGCTGTAGTCACCCAATTAGCGAAAATTATTGTTGAAACTAGGGTAACAACCTTGCAATTCTTGCACTTCCACACAAAGTTTGCCTCGCCTCGGCTGCCGCTCATCTCGTTGGTTTCCTAAGAAGGTCAGCTCGGCCAGCGACCACCATCACGCCTTGACGTACAAATCGGTTTACTCCGACATAGTTGGCGTGTGTCTCTCGACACGAAGTACACTGGACCTTGAACATGTACCAGAACGGGTCATCCTGGGTATCATCTGGCCGCAGGTTGGTGACGCTACGATGATGCTCAGTTAATGAAGTTCATAATTTCGGCCTCAGCAACTAGTGAAGTGTTGGAACGTACCCTGCCAGCTCGGCGTTGAGCACAAGAGTGAACATTTGAATCAAAGACGACTGTGCGTTGAGAACTTGAGATTGAGCAAGGCAGGTTTGTCACGACAGGGCTATCTCAAGAGTGAAAAGCAACCGATGCCCAAATGCTGCGGTGCTGCAAGTGACGCATGGTGGGGTAGTGGGGTGTGAGAATAGCGTAGCGCAACGGCAAAACCACGTGACAGAATAATCGTACCATCAACGACTGGCGATTTCTTGCCTCAATATCGCGAAACACCTCGATTGAAGGCCACCAGCGCCAGCGTCAATTCACCCCAACGATGTCCTAGAAACGAAGCGACTCGGCCATGCAATCTCTTTGGTCGAGAGCTGGCCAGGCTCACCGCTGCGGCTGCCGAGTTTGTGATGTCGCCGTCAGCACCCTGAGCCGCCGAGTTACAACAGCTGCGACTCGACCACGGAAGCCGACCTTTACCGAAATTTTCACTGCATGCTACAGTACCATGTTTGCAAGCGCCGCCGTCGTCGATGCAATCCGAAAAGAAGACCAGAGGCGGGAATTGGATAGCCAATTGGAGGACGCCCGGCGTGAGCTGGCCGAACTGCAGATCGTACGGGCCATGGAGGCGAAACGGATTGCAGCGAATGTCGACGCCGGCCAGCCCGAATTGACTCTTGATCAGATGAATGCGTTGTGGGATTCCTTAAAGGAGGTATGCGCAAGT